CTCAAGCTTTTGTAAAAGCAGAAAGAATTGTTTCAAAACAGAACTGCCACTGTCATACTTTGGTTGAGCAGACATTCCCAGAAGATCTAGGAGTGACATGTGATGACTATAAAGGGAATAGAAATGAGTTTCATTCAATGGCAGAAATTCCCAGGGAATGCATTTTAGAAACTTTTCTTCTAAAACTAACAGATTCAGTCCTTGAGTTCTTTCTTTTGTCTACTCAATTGCCCATCACAATGAATCAGTCCACGATCACATTCTGTACAAGTTTCTTCAAAAAGTGTTTCTAGAAGAGTGACAAATCTTGCAAACGGAACAATCTCATGGAAACATAGTATCACTGGGCAAATTTATTGTTTTCAAAACAGAAAAAAAAAAGGATTATTTTTAAAAGGTAATACTTTCTCCTAAGTGCTCATTACTTTTAAAGCCCAACTTTGGGAAAACCATAGAACAATTAGCAGTTACAAATACCATCACAAATAGGACACAGTTGTACTAGCACACAATTTCAATTTGGTATCAAAATTGGCCCTTGTTAATGAAAATCCTCAGAGACCGCAACCAGAGAAATGGTGAAAGGGAAAAATTGTCCATATACGGCAATCAGTTTTTGACATGGGGCTCATCAATAGCCTAGTCTTTCCAGGCACATCATTATCTATCTGATCTGCCAAATCTGATACTTAACAACATTGTCTTCATAAGAGTTGACATACCCTGGAAAAGTCTGTCTTATAAATCACCAAGAAAGATGACAGGTTTTACCGATTGCATCAGTGATAAAAAGAAGGGAGGCTTAGAGGAACTAGCATACTTACACTTCCTGGCACAATGAACTCAATGAACTAAATGTATTTCGAGGGAGGAAAAAAGTCTCCATATCCCAATTTTTGTTAAGACCAAGTAAGAAAACCACTGACAAACTATTTTTCTCAGCTCCCAACTAAATTGAGTTTTTGAAATGTGAAGACAAATGACCAGGAAGATGGCATAATTTTGTGGTATAAAAATGTGGTGGGAAAGGCTGAATCAGGATAGCAGACTAGTCAAGCTATAGCTTCTCCCTCCTATCCCAAATCCATAAATATAACAAAAAAAAAAAAAAAAAAAGATTTTCAGAAAGAAAAAGCATTCACACCTATTCTGCCAAATAAGGAGAAATATCCTCCATGGTCTAGACACTAGAAGAAAACCTTAAAAGCAAGAAAACATTGAAAACATATAGGTGGGTAGAAACCACAGCCCAAAACACTCAAGGAGAAGGTTTGCTAAAAATGAAATCGGAGACATTCAAAGCTGAGATGGCTGATGCCTGGAGCAGGAAATGCCAAGGGGAAATGATCTGATGGGTTCAAGTAGGCTCCTGTGGAAGCAGCCATCTAGCCAACCCTCCACAAGCTTCTACTCGCCCACCTTGGACCAGGCAACACAGTATCTGCCTCCAGATGCAAGTGTGAGCACTAAGCCAAGAGAGGCATGGCAGTGTGCCCAAGGCAAAACAGGGAGCCCTCACATCCAGAGACAAGCTGGTCAGGTTCATCCTGCCCTTCCCTACAATGGCTCTTTAAAAGAGTTTAGAACTTTAGAAGAAGAATTAATATCTTCAGAAAATACAAGAATGACAACATACTTCCAAACCAAAAGAGAGAGAAAAGGATCTTGGAAATTAAAATTGTGATCACTGAAATTAAAAATTCAACTGAGCAGAATGCTGAATGGATACAGACGAAGAGCAACTAATTGAGCCAGAAGATCCAGTTAAGTAATTCTTCCAGAATGCAGTGCAGTAGTGAAAAGCTAAGGGATATAAAGAAAACGGAAACAAAAGGTCAAAGATCTCTTAAATAAAGAAATTCTAGAAGGAAAGAATAGAGAAGGTGAACAAAGGAATAATAAGAGCAAAGACAGAAAGAAAAAGAAAAAAGAAAAATGCCCAGAATTAAAGAGATAATGTATGACTGAACAGGATTAATAGAAAAAGACCCAGTCCTAAACATCCTGTGGTGAAATTTCAGAACACCTAGGACAATGAAAAAACAACTAAAAATAAATAAATATAAGCAAGTGAAAAGGGACTCTAATTAAAATCTCAATATAGGCAGACCTTGTGTTTTTGTGGTTTGCTTTATTATACTTTGCAGTTATTGTATTTTCATCAAAATCTTCACTAAAAGATTATGACTTGCTGAAGGCTGGTTAGCATTTTTTAGCAATAAAGTATTTTTTAATTAAGGCATGCACATTGTTTTAGTTAATGCTATTGCACACTAAGTAGACTACAGTATAGTGTAGTCTATAGTGTAACATAACTTTTATATGCACTAGGAAACCAAAATATTTGTATGACTCGCTTTGTTGTGATACTCACTTTATTGCAATAATTTCCAAGGTATGTCTCTATAAATCAAGGCATCTGGATACATATTTCACATAAATGGTCATGAGACTACAGATGCAGACCCTTTATTTCCACCTGACCTCTGAATAACCAGGAAACACTGATACTGATATTAATAGCTAATCATCTGTGCCTTGGATCTCTACTCCACTGTTGTTCATCTTCACTCACTTCAGAGAAATCTGTAAACACAGTTGTTTAGATCACACCCTGAACCTCAAGATCTGGAAATGTTCCACTGAATTCCTCTCTGACTACAAACTCCAAGTCTATCATCTTCCCCATTAAATATGGTTTTAACCTCCTTAAGACTTGCAGTCCTTTCATCTCACTTTATTCTTTCATGCTACTAGGTCAGCACTGCTGATTCTACTTCCTCTTTCAATTTGCTAGGATCCTGTGATAAATCTCTTGATCTTTCGTTAAGATCCTCCATTTATTTTTCATATAACCTTGTGCCATATCTACCAAGGAACCCCCAATGAGAATCAATCTCCATCACAACTGACCTAAACTCTTGGGCTACTTAGACATGGAATAATCATATCCATTAGCTCTACTGCAAATAGTTGATTTCTAACTTCACCTGGGTCCTTGATGGCCTCAAAACTGTCTGGCAATTCTTTCTTCATCTCTAGTCACTTCCTGTGTCTATTTTTCATAGATGTTCAAATTGCCACCACTCTTTCAAAGTTCTCTAGCTACCCCGAGCTTCCCTCACTCACAATAAATGACTTAGTATATAATTAGGCTTTTCTTAAATATATTTTTAAGCTATCAGTATACAATGAAATGTTATATATTAAGATAAAATAGGTTATAAAAAACATTTTTCAACATAAAACATCAGCTATCACCTCCTTTATCTCTAAGTTTAATTACTCCTTCCAACTGCACTTCATACCAGTTAGCCTCTGCCTGCAATTCTCTCCTGCCCTGGCTTCACTCACATCACTCTTCTGTTTTTGAACTTCATCTCCTTCACCAGTTTCTCTACCAGCGTGCTAGTCTGCCTCAGATCTCTTCTCTTTGCACCATAACATGCTCCCTAGGTAATCTCATCTATTCCCACAGCTTCATTTATTACTGGCATATGCTGATGACTCCATTCATATCCAGTAACCCTGACAAATACCCAACTCCTTACGCATCTTTACCAGATGTCCCCTACATATCTCAACCCCAACATATTAAACCAAACTCATTAACTTTATCCATTCATCTACTTTTCTGCATACTTCTTATGGCTTATATAGATACCATCTACCTACTTTCCCAAGAAAGAAAAATTAAGTCACCCTTGATACTTTTTCTTCCTTAGCCTTTACACTCAAGTCACCAAGTTCAGATGACTTAATCCAAAATTTAACTCTGTGTCCCTCACTCTTCATTTCCAAAGTCACTATGCATCTCATCTCTCTCACCTTTCACCCTATCTTACATGTATCTATACCAGTGATTGGTAACCTGGGCCACACATTAGACTCACTGGGGAAATTTTTGAAAATCTTAATGCTTAGGGTACACCCCACACTAATTATATCAGAGCTTCTGCAGGTGGCAACCAAGCATCAGCATATTTTTATAGGGTCCCATATGATTCTGATATGCAGCCAGATTTAAGAATCTTCTAGAATTGAAGACGTGAGCCCAGATTGAAAGTACATACCAAACATCAAACAATAAAAATAAAAACAAATCTACAACTAAACAACTCAAAATGAAACTGAATAGCCTTGAGTATAAAAAGAAAATCATATAAAAGTTTATGGAAAGAAAAGACAGATTATTTACAAAGGAAAAAAAATTACATTAATAGCAGACTTCTTTTTTGCAACATTAGATGGCAGAAGACAATGAGTTACAAATCTTCAAAGTGATAGGGAGAAAACTGTGAACCTAGAATTCTGCAGCCTAAACTGTTATTCAGGAATGAAACAGACTTTTTCAGACACACAAAGCTAAGACTCAACTGTTCAAAGACCATCACTGAAAGACTTACCTTACAAAAAACATACTTCATTATGCAGTTAAGTGAGTCAAGGAAATTAGAGAGGTATTTAATAATAATGACCAAGTCTGGATTCTACCAGAAAATATAAGATGTGTGAAATATATGCACCACTCAGAGGTTTCAATGACCTTAAAGATGGGGACATAGTTCAGTGCAAACAAATAAATTTTATAACAAAAGTATTAGCAGGGTTCTGGCTAAGTTAACTGTAATTGTTTTCTTGTGCTTTTCTAGAGTATAGTCTCAGTTTTCAACTCTTCATTCTATAACTTTAAATAATAAAGCACTGCCAATACAGGAAAATTAAAAGATGTTTACTACTTTCATTGAAAAAATAAAAAAGGATGTAATTATTTATATACTAGCAAAATGTCAAAAAAAATTATTTTGCCATAAATATCTTTGTTTTCTAGATGATCTGAAAGTAATTTAAGAATCCCAAAATAACATCACTCAATTCTTATAATACCAAACTTAATTTCTTTTCATGATTTCTTAGTAAATTCAACCATAACGTTAATTTTATTAAATTAATCCTCAGTACTATATTCTTATTTAACACAAGAAAAAAGACTCTTAAACAAGATGATAATTATATATTTAATTCATCTTGCTTTTAACAGCAATGCAAAGTAAACACATCATAGACCTTATAACTTATTAAAGTTATATAGTGCTTACAAAGTTGATTCTAAAAATATACCTTATTTGTTCTAAATGAATAACATTATCTGGAAGACAGAGTAATAAATTATAGTAGTATGTTTTCTACAACTGTAGTTAAGATTGTATACATATATCTAACGTGAAATCCTCTTAGGATTTTAACACTTTCAGTCTTAAAATGTAAAAGCACATTATAGTTTGGCACACAAGATCTCAGTCTGACAGCAAATCAAAATAAAAAATTTAAAATCAAAAATTTTAAAAATATCTAGTTGACATATTAAACATGGGCACACATGCACATCCATATACACGAATACATTCTCTCTCACTCAATTCAGCACACATGTACACACACAAACACACATTCAGAGTAAGCAGAAGATTTCACCCTTGTGTATCAGACAATTACCATCAATTTGAAAAATAAAAATTGGGGAAAAAAGTTAACTAAAAATATGTTCAAGCCATGTTTAAATGGTTCTGGTTGTTGGATGGAGATGCACAAAATTGTTAACAAGATCAATAACATACACAATATCCCATCTCACTATATTCCTAAACAGGCTTGAAATATTCACTAATGGGTATATGAACACTTAAGAAATTATGTGCCCATCCTTTCCACAGATGGTATTCCACTGACAGTCAGTCATACAACCAAGCCCAGCTGAAGTGGTTTGCAATATAGAACCCAAGAACAGAACCTAATAAAATTAGAAACTTCATTTTGATCTGTTTGGGGTTTTTCACGTGTTCCATGTGCAAAAGCTGCAGGATTCTATATTGCAAATGACAGTTAATATCACTTAACACTTTGTGGCACTGCAGAAGGTCATTTTGTATATCTAAAACATATTTATTCTAGTTAAATTCCCCAATGGTCCTTACTTTTAATTATATATACTCTTCCAGGTTTAGACTCAAAACAATTTAATGCTGATAACCTCTCCTGCTCATCCCATTTACCTCAAATAAAATCTGTCAAAACAGAAAATTACTCTTCTCTCTCCAATAACGTAGGTTTGAAAAACGTTTTATAAAAGTTTATTTTCACCATATATTAAAATATCCAAAGTTCTCTAGAACATTAAAATAGAAACTAACTACACATTAAGACACCGATAAGTCATACTGTTGTGATTAGAAAAATAAAAAGGCACGATAGTAAGCGAAAAAGAATATACCAGCTTTCCATTTGCTTTTTTTTTTTTTTTTTGGCTTTCCTCTTATTTTATTTCACTAAGCTTGTAAATTGTTCAAAGCATTCTTATGCTCTTCATGACAGTAACAGAATATTTTGGCACATCAACATTGTGATACAATATATGGTATGTTTAAAAAATTTTTAAATTTCATCTATTAATCAACATTTTTAATGTAGTGCATATATATTTTACAGTTATTTAAGTCAAATACATAAAGGTTTGTAACTGATTTACAGGTGAAGCAATCACAGATTGCAGTAATATATGTATGTGTATATGTGTATATATATATCTATATATACCAATCAAGGGGAAAACTGCATCCTGGCAATTTCATAGTCCATAGTTTCGTTGGTATAGCTACCATTTACATGCCCTTTTCATCTTGTTTTCTGTACAAAAAAATATTTTTGCCTTCTTCATTCCTGATGAGATTTTTCTGCGATAACTTTACATTCATACTGAAAAATTTAAAAGGTTAAAAGGTTAATAAATTAAGGTTTATTCTAAATAGTAAATTCTCTATAAACTAAAAATTTCTAAAAATTAAGGTTTCATTAATCTACACCCACTTTATTCCTCAAAGAATCTGAGAGTTACCCAACTATTAGAATTAAATGACAAATGTGATTGGAAAAAAGAAAATTCACATTCTACAAGTGAAAGTGGCAGAGTCAAAAGCAGGAGAAAGATAGGGTTATGCATTACAAACAAATGACAATAGTATATGATTCAGATCAGTTCTAGAATATGAAAGAAGCAAAGTAGGTTTCTTCTGAGTGCTCAATAAGGTAAATCAGCAAAAGAAAGGTCATGAACTTAATGATAAGACTGATAGAATGAATTCAGATATTTTTTCAAATCACTTTACAATTTAAAGGAAAAATCTATTAGAAAAGCTTCCAGTCAAAACAACATTTTAGAAGTACAGCTATAAAAATGTACACCCACAATTCAAAATAAAGGAAACCAATGCACTTAGAATAACTGGGTGGCTAGATTATCAAAAAGAGAGCAACATAAACCACTCAATTCTCCTGCTGGTTAAAATGGTAAAAATGACAATACTTATTCATGAAACTGCTGTGGCCTCTATATGTTACTCCCTGACCCTTGCTGTGTATGACTGGGATTATCAACAATGTCCTTTCTTAACTAAAATGATTAAACATCTTGATTTGCTGGAGACAGTACTAATTTATATCTATTGTAGCAACGTCATTATTCACAGAGCCTCTTTTCACTTTTAAAATTGTTCCCTTTTGATGGAGTAGAAACCTACAAATTAAAAAAGTTAGTTTTATTAAAAAAGAGAGGATAAATCATATCAATGTATCATAACGTATTTTAGCTTTTTCATCCAGTGTTTCCTTCAACTTTTAATACGTTTGTGATTAAATTCTTCCAAGTGAATTATTTCAATGGAATTGCAGGCAGCAATCAAAGAAAGACTGCCATTTGGAGAAAACTTATCTTACATCTCAATAACAGAAAAGTGATTAAATAAGCATCAGCTTACCACTGCCAGTTGTCGACCAATGTTTCCCATCGTTATGCCTCCAGCAAAAAATATACATGGTAACCAAGAACGGACATAGAGAAAATCTGGAGATGTATATCTAGAATAACAGAAATGTTTTTAACAACCCAGAGGAAGTACAATGAAACTTATTAAGATAATGACAACAGAAATCAGTTACTCTTCAGATTAAAGTGGCTAACCCAATTTTAAAACCTCAATTCTAAATTCAGTTATCATTTATTTTAGCAAACAAGCACCAAAAAGAATACTTACTGATAAACACCATTATAGACTAGCAGTTGAGTGACCAAAGTTGCCAAGAAAGCAATTCCTACTCCAAGGCCAAAACCAGTTCTAGATCTATCAAAAGTCCACCACAATCCAATGGATAGTGCAGCCAGTGTGAGAGACAACTGTATGTTGTTATCAAAATCCACTTTCTGAGATCAGTGTTAAAGAGTCATCTTAAAACTTGTAACCAAATAATATCACCTGTTCATTTTTCTAAAATAAGAGACATTATTGTTAAGAAGGGAATTAATTGCTTTATCCTAGAATGCACTCAGTCTTTTAATACAATGTATAAAATTAGATTAAAACTATCTCTGATATTTATTAAAGATACACAGAGGGCATAATATTTCATTAATAAAGCCTACTAACCTGTAATTCCTCAAATAAAAGAAACACTCTATATGCATTTCCAATTATAAGATCAGACCTATTTTTTTGAGAAATGCTTTCTTTGCTAACAATGTAACTGGAAGCCTCAGAACACAAATTTTGCTAAAAGAACATACTTTTGCAAAAAGGAAACCATTACTTCTCAAAAGGATTGAGAATTACTCGAGAATCACACAGGAACTTGAAAATAGAAGAGTTGACAGCTATTTAACAGGGTACCACATTCGTTACATGATTTACTGACAGACACATTTTATAATAATGCAGTTTAGAAACAAGAGTACCAAGGACACAGTATCCCTTTCTATTATGTCAACTGTTCTAGTTTTAATTTGTTGAGGATAAAGCCTTGAAGTGAACATTATCTTGCAACCTGCCAAGCTATTTTGGTGTTTGAGACATTCTGGTATAGGACAGTTTGCTCAAATGATATTTTATTTCCATCACCTACTTAAACATCTATTCACAAACGTACAGCCTTTTATACTCCAAAATCTCTGGATAAAATGAAGCTTTACAAATTCAATTTTCTCATTTCTTTGCTAGAGGATTACAGTAAAGGAATTAATTTCAAGTATCATTAAAAGGGCATTAGCTATGTCCCAAAGGCCACATCTTGGCTCTATATCCAGCTCCCCAAGGAAGACTATGTATCTTGCCAAACTAACTGGCCATGCTGCAACTACAGAGAAGAGAGTACAAGTTGAAAAATGCATATGAAACCATTTCCTACTTCCTTTAACACCCTGTTGTTTACCACCTTTCCCCTTCCCTTACCCTACCAGCTGGTATCCTGAATATCCACTGTGCTTGTTTCTCAGCTGTTATGGGCCATTCCCTCAAGGTCATTCCCTGCTGAAGCTTGATTTATCAAGAAACCTATAGTTTATGGGTATGATTCCTGAACAAGCTTTTCTTATTCTTTAGTAGGCATTATACCTAAAATGTCACAAAGGAAAGCTTGTGAGCTCTGGTTTCTCTATACAATAAACATTCTTGCAAAGAGTAGACTTTGACATTAACTGGGTTCTATCTTTGCTAACTAAATTAACTTCATTAAGAGTCAAAGCAAAATAAGGAGGATTCTAGGGTTAACAGGTAAAAAAACATCAATCTTAAAAATGGTCCCGTATGATTTTAGGAAGTCTAAGTAATCTAATATTAAGTCTATGTTATAAATTTGTAAACATTTTGGATGGCCAGTACAGCTAAGATTGCTATATTTAAGTATTTCATTGAGAGAGAAAGAAGAGAGTGACCAAAGCATAAAATATAAATTAGATATATAAAGGTTTTTAAATTCTTGAAAATTTCTCGATTTAAAAATAGCTGAAATGTCTGAGACAGAAAGGCCTAACCCACCAGACAGAATTTTAATACTTGTGGGGCTTCTGGGTAGGAGACTGGAGTCAGGATCTCCGGGGAATGGTGACAGCTCTGGCACAGCCTCACATTGTGAATGACTTAGCAAAGTACCTAATCTCTCTAGCTTTCATTCGTCTTATCTTTATAAAGAAAATGTGGAACTAGGTGATTTCTAAGTTTTCTTCTAGATATAATATCCTATGAGTCTATTTTTTTAAGCTCTCCTAACCACTAGATTTGTTAGTTATAAAATCCTAAATTTCAAAAATTTCCCTAAATTAAACATGTTGGGAAATTCTTTAATACAAAAAGAAATAGAAAAGCAAAATAATAACAGCTACTAAGGGATGTACAAATCCACAGATATCCAAGGGCCAGCACAACCAGGAACAGAAAGGCAGATGTGTTTTCAGCATCTAGGACTCTGCCTCTTTCCTTGGTTCCTCTCCCCATGCTTCTCCAAAACACCTCTGTAAAAGACACAGGAATCTACTTGCCACATGACCCACTCTCTCGCAAGCTAACTGCCAGCCCTGAATCCAGTGCAGAATTACAAGGGGAAACCTTCAGCCACACCTCCTGCTCTTCCCTGTAACAAAGACACCCACCACATCAATTCTAGAAAAGGGAAGAGTGAGCTAGCAGATCCTCTTCTCCCAAGGAAAGCTGGGGGCGGGGAGAAAAAAGTAGGGAAGATGATAGGATGAAAGCCTTATGAGGGCAAAACCTTTTGTAAATTAGATATTTCTATTTATGCCACCTTTAAGAACATTTATGTGGCTTGCTGGTATTGATTAAAACCAATAAAAACAGCAAGCCTTTTTTTAAAAAAAATTATAAGTTATTTATATTAAAAGCAAAAAAACAACCAGCCCCTGAAACCACCATATGTCCTTACTGGCAAACCTTAAATGAAGAAATAGAAGAAAGAAATCCTTTGAAAATTTACCTGTTTCAATGTTAGATTACCAAAATTATATGTAAGCAATTTAGTAACCTAATTTAAGAAACACATGTAAATTTTTTAAACATGCAAAGTTTCTAAGCTATATTGAAAAACAGAGATTTAAATAAAAGGCAAAATCCCATACTGAAGTAGCATCGCATAGCTGCTACTATGACGTTTCGACAATTGGACACTCATTCTGTTTATGACTAAGTGGGCATATCACAATTTGACAACAGTGAAGTTGCAAGGGGCTGGTTAACTTTTGGTTTGTGGGAAGCTGCTCTGTTAATATGCATTTCATTATGGCAAAAAGGATACAGCGCTGGCATGATTTATACCAACAAAGACGGCTACGCACCGCATTACACTGGACCATTCTCTTTTGAATTTATGTGGTTCTCCTAGATGCCTGTCAATGCAGGGGTATAATAACCCAATCACAGCTGTAAAAAAAAAAAGAGAGAGAGAGAAAGAAAAAATAAGTCATCTCCAATGCTATACTGGCTAAACTTAAGCTAAGAGTCACTAGAATCACCATAAGCATTTGAAAGATTATTTTAAGAAGCTCTTCGTCTCCTGGATCTAGCACCTTGATCTGACCCTTCCACCCTGGCCCTCTAATGAGACTCTGGGTCATATTGTCAAAGCAGGGAAACTTACACAGAAATCTACATGTAAGACTCATCCTGTACATAGAAAAAATGGAGCAAACATGGTCTATAAAAATTATACATTTTTGGTAAAAATTTAAATTCACTGTTAAAAGATCATTTTAGTATATTTCTTACTTTTGGAAAGAACATTTTGACTGCTAACTGTATAATTAATTATGAATAATTGTATGCAAAATGTCCATGGTTGAGACTCAAAATATTTTCACCCAATTTTTAACTTAGATACTTGTCAAACCTCAACTTTTTATTCATTTAGTTGAAAAGGATTTTAAATGTTAAGTTAGACATAAAAAAGAAAAAGACCAATGAACTCAAACTTCCTGTAACAAGTTATAAGGAAAATATACTTCCACCGATTAACAGGAAATAGCTAGGCAGCTTTGATTTACCAATCTTCCTAAAAACAGAATTGTTATGTTGCCATCGGTAATAAAGACACGATGTCACATCAGTTGAAAAGTATGTTTAAAAGGTCCAATGCTACTACCTATGATGTATCATGAAACTATTGTACCAAAATCTAAGTGCCTCAGAAGCCACTGCTTGGCCTCAAAATGGCTATATATACCTCACAAACGATGTGTTAAATCTCTGAGGGAAAACAGAAATCAATTAATATCAAAAAAATCACAGGCTAACAGACCAATAGAGCAGCAGGGAAAAGAGGCTGCATGACCGCCCTTCCATAGGGAGGTGAGATGTTACAATGATGTGGCATTATCTAATCCACAAAACACCTGCAAGTGCTCCTTTGAGTTAGGCTTTTGCTGAAAATAGATAGTTCACAGACCATCCAGAGATTAACAAACTTCAGTAATACAAAGCTCCAAAAACTACTAGTAAATTTAAGTTTCATATTACAGCAGATTCTCGAATGACATCATTTCGTTCACCATCATTGCTTCATTCACCGTCATTTCATTATGTTGTAGGACCTTAACTCTTGTTTAGATCAATTAGTCTATGGTAAAACTGGTTTTGTTATATATGGTTTTGCTTAATGTTGCAGAACCTATCTAGGACTTTTAAGAGAGGACTTATTGTATATTCCTATTTAAAAGGCTATGCTCTAAAATCTTGTGAGATTAACTGACAGCACTTCCAAATTTCTACAAAATTAAAGTGGCAACCAGCATGTCTAAGAGATGAAATATATCTAAATGAATATTACTGCCTTCTTTTTCCTTAAGGGGTCTTGAAACTAACAGCTCATATGTCATTCTTCACTCGCTCTTGCTCTCTCTTCCCTTTGCCTGTTGCTGAGTAAAATCAACTAAGATTAGGCATTCCAAGTCAATTTTCCTCAGCAGCTGATGACATAGGTAAAAAATTATCACACAGAGAGTACTGACGTGTGTGTGCAAAGATATAAATAAGTAAAATTGACTATATTTTTATGCATGTGATGTCAGACTAGCAAGTGAGAGACACCTGAGGAGAGAAAGCAAAAACACAAAAGGAATTTAAACTGCCATGCTGCCAACCATGGGATTTGCCAATAAAAATCAAATCCATTGAGTATGCATGGCTCTCGGCTGCTCACTGAGAGAAAGAATTCGAGGAAGCTTGTCACTTCCCATTAAATGTCTTCTTTCTTCCCTTTACATGAAGGCATGGCAGAGTCTGATAGCAATATCTATAGCACAGTGAGGCTCCGCTGTTTAAGAGCTCAGCAGAGGTATGTCTAGGCTTCTTTTATTCTTTCTGTTAAAATCATGTCTGTGTAAAATTATATGCAAACACAGTCCTGGTTAATAGACGGTTCTCAAAATCACATATATTGGGATAAGGCATGCCTCAATTTATTGCACTTTGCAGATATTGTGTTGTTTTTTGTTTGTTTGTTTGTTTGTTTTACAAGTTGAAGGTAAGACCCTCCACCAGCAAAAAGATTACGACTCACTGAAGGCTCTGATGATGATTAACATTTTTTAGCAATATTTTTTAATTAAAGTATGTACATTGCTTTTTTAGACATAATGCTACTGCACACTTAATAGATTACAGTATAGTGTAAACATAATTTTTATATGAACTACGAAACCAAAAAATTCATGTGACTCACTTTATTGCAATATTTGTTTTATTGTGGTGGTCTGGAATCAAACCTGCAATATCTCCAAGGTATGCCTGTATATTTAAGTTATTTCCCAGCGACTAGTTACAGCCTATCAAGACTAAAAACAGAAAAGTTTGTAAAAACATCCAAGTTGTGTTACTGTGTTAGGTAGGGGTAGTACTGACAGGGCCTAGTGGGGGCCAGTCTGCTCCTGGCATGTGCTGAGGAAAGATAGGGGGCTAGGGTGTCAGGAAAGCTTCACAGAAGAGGTGATCCTTGAGGCAGGAGCATTCAGCAAGTGAGTGATGTGGAAAGGGTTTTCTAATCAAAGCAAAGCATTTGAGAAAAAGCATGGGGAACAGAAAACACCTGGTACTACCAGGAAATTGTAAGCATTAGGTAGAAAGGGAGCTCAGGGTCCAGAAAGACTCTGAAGATAAAAATAGGCAAGGGTCACATCATCGAGACTTTACCCTGCAGATACTGGGTAACCAGGAAAATAATGACAACACACTTGCACCAGATAGAGAGGCAATTGCTCTTACAGCAGTGAGTATGGAATACGTGACGGGAGGGGAGACTGGAGGGTGATACAAAATTACAGGCAGAAAAAGAGTAGACTAAAAATTCCAAGCAGAGTGGTTGAGGGCCTGGACAAAGAAAGAGACAGAGGAAAGATGTAAAACTTGGAAACCGGACATGGGAGGTGAGAGAAGTGAGAGAGAGAGGCAGGAGTCTTGCAGGGCTCTCCAGAAATTGGGTAAATGACTGCATGGCTAAAAAGATTTTTTTTTTCCTTTTAAAATTAGACATTAGTTTTATAGATATGAACACAATCTGGTAACTTGTGATTTTTTAACTTCTCCAGTTATTTTACCCAAACAATGATAGTTGTCTTTTTTTTTTTCTCCTATTTATTCTTAAGATTCCTTTGTGGCCCTCAATAATGTTCAAGAAGTTTCTAACTCCAATTAATGCACTGCACATAAGTTAACTTGAAATACCAATCATTATTATACTAAAAATAGAGAACTAAGAAAAGGAAAATGAGATCCAAAGCAATGTACCAGAATTCTCTACTAGCTGTCCCTCCAGAGGCACCAATAGCACATTTCCCAGTACTGTGTGTTACAGAGAAAGGTAGCAAATAATCAGGGCCCTTCTGTTTACATGCAGAAAGTGGTGATTGTGGAGACCCTCCAGAAGGAAGCTGCTCAGTCTATACATAGTAATTGAACAGGAAAATCAAAGGACAGTTACCAGATTTTCTGACTTAAGATTGTGAGAACCTAGAGAGCTTTGAAAACGCATACCAACACAATATAGTCAAAAAGATATGCATGTTACATAAACATACAAACTCATACACACTTTCTGACATCATTTACATTTTTTTCCTTGATATTTTCCCTAAAACTAAAGCGGGGGGCGGTGAGTGGAGGGAGCAATTATGCAATAATCCATTTTCTTCTTTGGTAGCTTCCACAAATCTAATATCTTCATTCTCATCTACTAAACGCCACGACTTACTCAACAAAATCAGAGGCAGAAATAACTGGAATCTAGATTTCCCAATGCTTTTCTATTTTCTTTTGCCCAGATGCCTCACAGAATACACTGCTTTCAGAAGAAAGTTAAGCAAGAAATGTAAATGCAAACCCCCAATAAAAAAGTGTGAGGTTAAGTTTGTAAGTGTGAGAAATCCAGTAGCTAGGAAAAGGAAGGAAAGTAGGATCAAAGTGACTAACTACAGTATTAACATTTAGAATTGTCCTTCCCAAGTGTGAGTGTGGCAAAAGTGCCCACATCACAGAGACAGACACAGCACATTCCTCCCCATAATGGAGGTACAACGAAGTGAAGGAAGTGTGAGTAGCTCCCGCTTTCCCCTTCCCCAGCATATGACATTTGACCTAGCCAAACCATGCACTGGCTCTAGAACCCTGGGTTCACCGATATCCTCTCATCATCTCAGCTTCCTCAATCCCCCAAAATAAGCACAATGTCAAACATCTCACTTTCAAAGTTGCCGTACAGATTCTTGGGGTTAAAGGATGTGCCTTAGCATATTAGTCGACACTTAGTAAGTAATAGTTTCCCTCCTCTGACCTTCCTTTTATCTATTCTTAAGACATGTTCTTCTAAGTCTATAAAAGCTTCCATTGGTAGCCAGGGAACAGCTATACCATAGTAGAAAATAAACAAAGAACTAAAAAAGTAGGAAAACTTTATTTCTCTCTTTTCTGAGTTTAAACAAAAGAAAGGAAAATACATGAGGACCAGTAGATACAACTGAGAATGATGAAACATAATTTATGCTATTTTCTGTCTGCTTTGCCTCTTAGAGAATGGTAATAACCCTGCATAAACTAAGAATTATTGCCTTTACAACTACCCTTTTGATGTGAATATTGTAACAGTGAGACATCAATATGTAAACCATACTGAAATCTTACCATGACAATGTCCTCTCAACAATGCAATGGGATTCTGTAATTGTCTAGTAGGTTTCACAAGGTCCTTCTAAAACATCTCACATCTACCTCCTTACCCTTGGACCTCCAAGCTCTAGAATGAAAATCAAGATGGATCTACAATATGTTGCAATGTATTCACGTATAGTAAGTATGAGACACCAGACATTCCAAAAAAGCAATTTTCTCCCTTAATCAGAATTCTGTTCTACCACACAATTATGGCTTCCTTCTATTACTTTATTATATAAACTATTATTAATCTATTGGTTTTGGTCATTAGAAAAAGCTAAAGACCTGATCCCGTCTGATCTCAGAAGGTAAGCAGGGTCGGGCTTAGTTAGTACTTGGATAGGAGACCACTTAGGAAGACCAGGTGCTATAGGCATAAAAAATAAAAAATATAAATAAATAAATAAAAAATAAGGGATTGTAAACTGACAAGGTCCTTGAAATATGTGAGGTCAACCAAGGGTTGCCTCACCTAAAAAAAAAAAAAAAGAAAAAGAAAAGCTAAAGAGCTATCCATTTTTGAAAGGTTAGCATCAATAAGACATTCTGAAATGCTCCACTTTACCCACTACACAGTGTCCACCAAAAAAAGATCTAAAGTACCTAATTGGATAATAATGATTTTAAGCAAAGAGAATCTACCTTATTGATCTCTTTAAGTATTTATTATTCTTGAGGTACATCTGAAAACAAGATGCCAAGGAAAGTAGCATATATAAAAATCTAAAAAATAACATGAGGCTTTAAACTTGAATAAAACTGTTCCAACTTTCAAGTTGTTATCAACTTCAAAAACAAGACCATAACACACATATCAAACCCTTAAAACCAAACAGTGGTGATCAAAATAACTAAAAATATAAGACTTACATGAGATGGGCTTAAGGACAAAATTAAGAAGTTAAAAGCTGAATCCCTAAGAGAATCAGGTTTACATTTTTAAAGGTCATAGGTCGGATAGAAATCAGACACAAAAGAGTACACACTCTATGATTCCATTTATATTACATTCTTGGCAAAATAAACTAGTGATAGAAAGATCAGTGGAAGCCTGCGGCTGGGGGTGTGGGGCGTGGACTGCAGGAGGGCACAAGAGAATCTGTGGGTGATGGGAATGTTCTATAGCTGAATCGTAGTGTGGGTACATGACTGGATGCATTTGTCTAAACTCATCGAATTGTTCATTTAAAACAGGTATGTTTGTTGTATTTAAATTATACCTACATAAAGTTGATTTTTTAAAAAAGTATTGCTCAGACAACATCCATACTCATTTACCCTATTTTCTCTCTAAGCATTACAGAAACAACCCACACATACCTGAAGCTGTGCCACAACACGGCGGTACCCACCATGCTGAAGAAAAGATGCTTGCAATCACATCAGGTGGAAAGAGAGTCACATTTCTCTGAATCTGAAGTAAATTTAACACTAATGCAAGAAATACTCCAATAAAAAATAGTACTATTCCTCGAATCATTAAATTCACACTCCGGCTAGTCACAGATGAGATATAGGGGCCACACTTTTTGGGCCCAGGTGACTCTGTCTCTCCTTCTGCCATGGTTTCATAAGTTCAGTAAGCCAGCAAAAAAAAAAAGAAAAAGAAAAAGAAAAAGAAAAAGAAAAAGAAAAAAAATGGCTTCCCAGCTGAAAAGCCAACTGTCTATGAATCAAAGCAGATTGGTGTTTCAATAGTACAGCATCTTGTCCTAAAATAAGACCTACCAGAAATCCTGCAAGAGATAAGAAAAAAGAAATCAATGTGGGTCTAATGATTATATAATTTTCCTGATTTCAATACTAATTATTTTAAAAGGACAAATAATAAAATGACAAGCTTATATATTTATTTAAATTAGTATTTACTAAATAAGAAAAGGTTTAAAAAACATTTTATATGCATCATGTAATAACAAATAAAGTGCTACACTTACATTTACTAGGGCAGAATAAGTAACCTAAGAGACTTAAAGGTTAGAATAATACTAAGAACATTTTGTTCCACCTCAGAGAAAAGCAGAGCAGGTTATCTGAGACACTCCCACTACAATCTGGAAGATCAAAGTCCAAATTTCTGCTTCTATCTAAATCTTTATACTTTACAGAAAATAAATAAATTTATATTTTACAGAAAATTAACACATTTTGACTGATAATGTTCAATTGTTCACAATAAAATGTGACTTGCTCATGAGGACAACCTCCAGAGAGGAACAAAATGATGTGTTTTAATGTTTAATGCTTATATATTTGAATTTCTGAACAAAAGTGTCTTACTAAAAGCAGGCCATCACCCACTCACCTACACATACACTAAGCTCAGAAACTAGATCTGACCTGCTTTCTCCAGGCCCACAGCTGTGTCCCACCCCTACCTTGACCAATCTGCCCATGTTGCAGTCATGGAAGCTTTTGTGAGAAAGCTGGAGTAGCAAGCAGAAGAAAGGAAGCTAAGAGTATGAAGAAAAACCTAACGGCTATATTCTAAGAAGTTTTATCTGCATAGATCCTGACTCCTAAAACCCAAAATTTTGCTAGAAAAATCACTGTAGGTATATATGTTCACTACTCTAACCAAATTGATCTTTCATTTTGTGTGTTTAAGACAGCATCTAAGGCTTTCTATGAGGTGTTCTAAACACCTGACATATGGTAACTCATATAACTCTCCCAATAACCCTAAAAGGTAAGAGCAATTATTATCTCCATTTTACAGGTGAGGCAAAAAAAGCAAAGAAAGGTTAAGTCACTTAACCAAGTTTACACCCCTAGTAGGAGGCCGAGCTAGGATTCAAATCTATCCATCTGGCTCCAAAGCCTTCATTCTAACCATGATGTTCAGCCTCGCAAACTGTCACATATTTTTCTATGTGTTTTCTATAAATACTATCATTTTTTAAATGGGACAGACTATTTTTGTAACTTTTATCCCATCCAACAATAATATATCTTGGACATCATCACAAGTCAGCACATAAATGTTTCCTTCGATTCTCAAAACAGCGTATTTAAAAGTTTAGTATGACACTTCTAACAGCTACCTTATAATGATATATATAGTTTGCTTTATAGATTATAAACTTTTATATAGGTCTTATTCACTAGTCTCCACCGTGCCTACATATCCAGAAAGGTGCCTGCCTAGCCCATAGTGGGAGCTCTACATATTCTCATTCGTTTAATGAAATTGGTTTAACTCAATGAAATTGGTTCAACTCAAACTACGCTGGGTTAAGCAGACCTTTGAGAAGGTAAACCTAGCGCTTAACCATCATTTAAAATATATTTCCTCTGAGTTTCTAAGTTTCGAACTACCTTACAAATGAATTTTGGAACAAAATCCACGTGTAAATAGAGGAGAGTGCTGACTTTAGATAAATAATCAGTATGAAAATAAGAATATTTCTAAGTACTAGTAACTTTCACAGCCTATCAGTTTCATGTGATAAATATAGAGGACAGGCTTTTTTCGTGAGCGTCTGCCACACTGAAAGCTCTGTAACCAACACTCAAGGGGAGGAATTCTTTCCTCAAGCTAGTCCTCACCAGCCTACTTAGTCTACAGCATAATTAAGCTCTACAGCTTAGAAGACTGGAGAAAATAGCACATATTACAGCTGATTCATTGGAAAACAGACTCTAAATACCAACTGAAAATGTCCAGAAAACATCTCCTCCTGATCTGGTCTTGCAGACTATTCCATTTTGTGGTATCCAGCATGTCACTGGTCACTTAGTGAGGTGTTCAGTACCTACAGCATTCTTCATCATCATGATCATGACTACTGATATAGCACCGACGTATGCAGGAGGGCCTATTCCATGCCAGACATATAGTAACTCTAATCTTCAAAATAATCCTAAAGGTAGGTATGATCATCCTCATTTTATAAATGAAGATATTAAGTCAAAAAGACTTAGCAACTTGCTTATGGTCACATGAAATGCACTATTAGAACCTGAATTTTAATTTACATATGACTGATTCTCCTACCTCTAAACCTGAGTCCCAGCCAGTCCAGCCCAACTCCTAAGATCTCTTTTGGCACATGAGTCTATAGAAGAGGATCTGATTACTGAAAAGATGAGTAGACATTAGAAAACAATCTCATCTATAATATATTCTCAAGGTATTAATGCCAGTGTTAAGTAGGCAACTTTATAATAGTACAAAGACCATGAGAATAAATGTACAAACTACTTGAAATTTTCTTTAAACGTACTAGATCAAGGAATAAAAGATGTTTTGAAGAAAAAAAATCACATGGCCAACTTATGGACTGCATTAGACCAACACTTGACTCTTCACTTCCCAAACTTCCTTTGGACATAGCAAATCCCCACTTCTGCTGTTAAAAGATACTAAAAGACAAAGAGTATGCAGTTGACCCTTGAACAACGCAGGGATTAGAGGTGCCAATGCCTGTGCAGTCAAAAAATCTGTGCATAACTTCTGACGCCCCAAAACTTAACTGAAGTCGGCCTTGGTATCTGCAAGAGATAAGTTCCAGCATTCTCCACACCCACAGATACCAAAATATGCAGATCCTCAAGTCCCTTATATAAAATGGCATACATCAATGCATATAGTCACCCCCTCCCCATCTGTGGATTCCCAACCACGGACTGAAGATACTGTTCTCAACTCAAAGTTGGTTGAAACTGTGGATGTGAAACCCATAGTACTGAGGGCCAACTGTATTTATTGAAAAAAATACATGTATAAGTGGACCCGAGCAGTCCAATTCCATGTTATTCAAGTGTCAACTATATACATTTTAAGGAACCCAAATTGCACTAGTAAATCGTTTGTTTGTGATTTTTTTTTTCCAAAAGAGAATGGCAAAGGACATTTTATTACAATACTTTCAAAAGAGCAAAATAACTTTGGTTTTAAAAGTGTTTTCAGTTGTAGTGGCCCCATCTCACAATCACTCACCAGTGTTTATTGTTGAGGCACTGGCATTTTGGGCAGGACAATTCCTTGTTGCATAGAACTGACCTAACTACTGCAAAAGATTTAGCAACCCTGGCTCCTGCCCCTTAAATGCCAGTGCATGCCCCCTCCTCAATCTGAAATAGCTAAAAATGTCCCTACATATTTCCAAATACCCCCAGAGAGGCAATACCCTTCACTGAGAGCCACTGATTGCTAGAGGCTTCCCGCGTTCTTTTTCAAGTCTGTTAGAGACACTCTAAACTGTTTATTTATGTTTTCTACCACAGCTGTTTATTCAAACTTTCCTGGTAGTGCTTGTTTATAGTTTCCTACTTCACCCCAAAAGTTTTCTTTAAAAAAAAATATAACATTGTTTGATGTTTATTTAAATGAGTTTTTAAGCTAATTTTTTAAAAGTCCAAAAATCTAATTTTGTAACTACATAATAAGACAATAGTATATAATTACTGTAGACAAAAACAAAAGTTAAAATACTTTAGAATTACAGTATCCTAAAATTTAAGAAATGGAAGAGAACTGAGAGATCATCTATTCCAAAGGGTATGGGAGCCTGATACAAAACAAGAACAAAAAAGTTGTGCATATGTGCATTTTTCTGGAAAGAGAGTTCCACAATTTATATAAAGTATTCAAAATGTCCATGATCCAAAAGAAGCTAAGAATCTGGGGATCTAAAAATTCTCTCGTTTTACTGACAAAGCAAATGAGACCCAAAGTGGTCAAGTGGAGTGACAAGATCAATCCTGTTCTATTGGATCTTGCTACCACAAACATGTAAAGTGAACTCCTGGACATGGCCAGACTCGTGAAAGGGATAAGAAATTCCAGAAGACCATTCACTTCCTACTGTGGAACAATTAAGTTCTTAAAAAAAGCATGTTGTTTACAATATTAGTCACACACCAGGGTGTGGGTTATTTTAAAGTGAAAGCTCCTGGGATAAGTATCCCCTAATTTGTTTTAAAGTCTGGGTTTCTGATTATGTATTGATATTATTTTCTTAAAACAACTGTACCTATACCTTTAAATAGTACTCTTACAAAATGATAAATTCGATTTTCCAAAATTAAAAAATAATCTACATTTGAAAAATTTAGATTATTCAAGAAGTAATTTACTGATCAGAGAAGTCTCTAGCATAAAGATACCCTTTAGAGGACAATATCTCAATAGATCCTCAACAATAATGTTGTTAAGTAGGCAGGCATTTTTAATCCCCATTTTACAAAATAAAATAGGTTAAGTAACCTTCTGAGATCATAAAACTGTTAGGAGGTAGCACCAGGACTAGCACAACAAGTACTCTGACTCCAGGTCCAGACTATGGTTCATTTCACTATATTGTCTCCAGCTACAAACACCATACCAAAACAATTTAAAGACCACATAAGAAACAGTTTTTAAAGCCATGTCAATAAACTACTCTTAATACCAAAATAATGCTTTTTTCCCCAATGGCTGACAAAGAAAAAACTTCCACAGGACATGAAACATTCTACCTTGAGCCCTGACCCTCAATTTCTACAACATACATTACTGAACCAAAAGAAAAACAGTTCAAATAGTTTAGATAAAAAACAAATCATCAAAACTGGAAAAAACATTATTCCAGATATATGAATATGATTACCTGTTAATGGATTAATATTACTTTTAGATGAATAAAAGAGGGTTAGAAGTAATTTTAGACTCTGTGAATGAAAATCGAAGTTGATATTTTCCACTGAGACAATTTTAGGCAACAGGCAATTGAAAACAAATAACGCAGACAAAATCTGTAGTATCTTAAGAACCACTTGTATTTTAAAAATTGCAACAACACCTAAAGCTAAACAAGATCACTCATCTTCCAATTACTAGTAGTCAAAGAAGTATGTCTGCTCCCTCAGATTACCCTGTCTCTCCAGGTGCTTAGGTCACATAGGCTACTAAATAATAAAATTAAATTAGTACCTCACATCTTTTTTATCATGCTCTATTAGAATGGCATTCTCAAAATAGAATAAGCATTAACATTAGGAAACACATACTTAAACCAATGAAAAAGTTGAACTCTCCTTAAATATAAGCATACACATGTGACTCACAGGCTATGGGCACTAAAAATTTCCAGGGAGAAAAGCATGTTTGCCTTGAAGACACTGAAACTCATCTTTCCCCTGGACATTAAAACCCAAACACGCAAACCAGTAAGCAAGCAGCATTCACTTTTAAATGTCAAATCTCAGTCCCTAAAAAGGTTACTCCATCCTTTGGGAATAATTTTGTGATAACAATGAAAACAAACTGTTTTAAAATTACTGAATTGCATTTTATCTTTTCCTTTTCAGCCCACCATATGTAAAAGTAATAGTTGGCAGTTTAAAAAGAATCAACCTCTTTCCCAAATGTACACAATTCACAGCTTGGTCACTTTATATCGGATGTGTACAGAGAACTCTAACAAAACACACTACTCAACATAATGTCCACAGAAAGAATGGAGAAAATAGAAAGAATACATGGCTGATTTTCTTTTTCTGTGGGACCCCTATTAATGGAAGCATCCCTTTCATTCATTTTCACAAAGTGGTGCTATCAAGGCCAAATCCAAAAGTTGGAAAACACAATCTAGCCACTGCTTGGCTGCCTTTATTCTTTCTGCACTCAGGACTGGAGTGTGTCTTCCCCTGCAATCTTCAGCTCCAATGCAATACTGATCAGGGCCAGTTTCAGTGACCCAGCTGTCAAGTCTATCCATTCCTTCTTAAAGCATTTCTTCATCAATCCTACAAAACAGTAAGCTCTCCATAGTATATTTTCCTAGACTATTTAACACCATACTTCAATAACTTTTTCCAACACTAAATGGGCATGGATCTTCTTTTAGCACCTTTCCCCGGTACTCCATCATCTACATTGCTTTCTTTTCCCAGATTACTAATCTCCAATGACTAACTCTAAAATCCCCGTAAGTCATCAACCGACTTCTAGGTCTTGACATAGTTGTCTTTGGCAAACCACACACCTACTCCAAAGGTTTCCAATTCCAATCCAAAATGCCTAATTCCACTCCTCAATCCAACAGCAACATATTTTCGGTGGATTCTAAACTTATTGCAATATCTACTTTTTTGGATCCATCCCCCTCCCAAATCAGAGTTTCCCAGGCTACAAGCCTCTCAAATCCTGACAGTACTATGCTTGACAGCTCGCCGACCTCCATCCCCATCAGATCTCCAGGGTCATTCTTCCCGCCGTCCTTCAGCTTTCTTTCCCTTCGGACACCATTTCACCGTCCGATGAGCCTCAACCTCTCCTACGACCTCTCCCCGACCCTGCTGTCCCCTTCCGGACCTCGCCGACCCTACTCCAGGTAAGCGGAGCCGCTCGCCCTTCAGGCCCCATCTGTGGTCCTGGCTCCTCACACTTGCCAGCAGGGTTCCTAGGCAGCAAAACACCAGCAGTTCTTTCTAACGGCCACCCCCTTCCTCAGGCCGCTTCCCTCAGCACCAAGTCACTGGCGATTCGCCGGGGTACCCCAACTCACCCCCGCCTCCGCCATCTTCTGGGACCGGCCCCGCCCCCTCCGCCTTTTCCTTTTCCCCTCCCACAACTCCGTCCGAGCTCCACTGCGCCTGTGCGAATGACGCAGACGCGCTCCGACGATCGGGGCAGTGGAGCTTCCGGTTCCAACCGGCACTAGTTGGTAGGCCCGCCAGCCGGGGAAAAGGGACTTCCGGTCTGCCTGAAATTAGCCACTGGGTATAGGCGTGGACCGTCTGGGTAGTGGGAGGATTCCGCATCAGCTGTTGTTTGCTGACCAGGCAAGTGTGGGATGTGACAAGTGCCCAGACCCTGTGGGCGGTGTGAGAGAATCGCGCATTGACACACGCACACTCTGGGAGGCGCGGCCCACACCGTGTCCCTCTCTTCCTAGCCGAACGGATAGCTCTGGAGCGCAGGCTGCCGTGTTCTCCCGCTAAGGATGCTGATTCTGTATCTTCGTGCTTTTTCGGGGCTTTACTCATGACCCTTTTTCCTTCCCTACTAAGTCATAACTTCTTTGGGGAGAAAAGCACACTTGTTATCTCTCTCATCTCCATCCCACAGCACTTTATGCGATTTTCATTGGTAACCGTTCAACTTCAACCAGGTAACATGGTTTTCGTAGGAAGAGCTTTAGAGGTTTACAGCAAAGTAGAGAAAATATAGAAACTTAATAACCTCTTATTTGTCAGAATTAGTACTCTTATATGGATGTGGTCAGATTACAGTGATATTGAGGAAAGTTTTAGGTGAAATTTGAGCAAGGAGTAATTGCTTATGAGCTTTGCAAAGGAGTGTCAGTTGGTGAAATGCCTGTTTTTATTTTGTACTGGTAAACAATAAGGTGGATTTTTATGTTTCTGACTTTTTTATCGGTACATTTATTATGAAAATTGAAGAGGAAATTAAACTGCAACAAAGTGCATCTAGAATTTGTATGACCTTCCTTGTTTTCTCTAATGTTTCCTATAGCTCTTAAATTTCTCTACAGTAAAAAAAAAACAAAAACAAACAAACAAAACTGAGCCGATTATACTGAATAGATGAGGATTTTTTAAAAAGGAGAGTGGGGGAGGTTAGGGTGGACTCACCTAAGAAATACACAACTACTTTATAACGTCCTAATATAAAGGCTCTCTGTAAAGCAATATGAGTCCTCTTCACCCAGCTCATATTTCCCTAACCTAGCTTTTTCAAACACTTAGAAATTGCCTTCAGGAAAATTCTCACCTAGAGAGGCATTTATTTTACTTTAAATATTTGTTGACTTACAAGGAGGGGCAAGACCTAAATGAGCAATCACGTGGCACCAGTTCCTAAGGTTCTTATATCCAATGCAGTCTTTCCTGCCACCGTACAAGACAATACAAAATCTTTAGAAATACGAAGAGCCGTTATCTTCTGATTAGGTTTGAAGACAATTTTCATGGAAGATGTAATCTTTCAGTAGGCATTGAGGCTAAGTAGGCAATGTGATAAAGCTGTGAATTCTGGTGGGAGCTCAGAGTTGGAAAAACATGAAACATTGTATCTAGACCCTGGAGTGTAGAAGAATGTATAGTGAGACTTATAAGATCTGAATGTCAAGCTCATAAATTTGTATTAAATTTATGTTATTATGGCAGTATTAAAATCTCAAAATGCCAGAATATAAATTGACTAAGAACTTGGAGAAATCAAAACAATTTGGGGTTGCTTCGAAGTTGGTGTAATATGGTCAATAGACCACTCATGAGATTCTTGAAACCTGGTGCTATGACAATAAGTACAGAATCATGTCCAATAAATTCATTTTTTAGGCTTTCTTATTTGTAAAATGAGGGATTGGTCTAGACTATTTCTAAGATCCTTTTCATAAACAAAAATATCAATGATATAATAAATCTATGACTTCAGAGAAAGGTTTTTTCCATGAACCTTACACATTGTTTGGTCTTCCAACTGAATGGGCCAAAAGGTAAACTAGAAAACAAGCAAACAAAAAACTCTAGTTAGCTAATATAAACACCTACAAATGTTTATTTGCCTTGTTGAAGTGAAATATTTAGTTAGACTAACATTATTTCCCAAAGGTTGATGACTAAGCCTTTAGTAAGCTTCTAAGAATCTAGGACTTAAGCACCTTACCAAATTAAAAACATCCAGGAAAAAAAAAAGTATGGAGATGTTCATCATCTTTGTAACACTGTCTCAATTCTAAATTTTATACCAATGTAATCATTTACTGTGTGTTTCTGCAACTAGATTGCAAGCTTGACAAGATCAGGAACCTTGTTTTGCTTTCCTCCTGAGGACCAGTGCCAAGTGCCTGGATGTGCTAGATGTTCAGGTGATAGCTGTTAAGTGATTAATGGATTAATATATGATCCATCCTGTAATCCCAACAGGGCAAAATTCCTTAACTTTTTATGTCTCTTACTATATGTATCCCCACACTGAAACTAATGTATTTTTAAAACTACACAACAAAAACAAAAACCAAATCAATTGTCTCCAGTGTTTTGAGTTCTACTATAGTCACAAAAAGTATTTTTATGAAGCCTTCTTATATAACCAATATTTATCCTGAAGTATCATAAAGAAATTTGTCTTAGAATCTGTACTGTGTGTACTAGCCATGTATAGCTATTTAAATTAATTAAAACAAAATAAATTAAAAATTCAGTTCCTCAGTCACACTAGGCACATATCAAGCATGCAATAGCCCCACGTGTACTTTTCTATCATCACAGGAAATTTTACTGGGAAATACTGTATTAGATGATTTATATAAATTTAGCTTTCTCAAAATACTGACGAAGTAAAGAAAAAATCAAGAAATAATAGTGAAATGAAATTATTACCTACCAGCAATTTGTCCACCTAAAATTTATAAGGTCTTTTAGCATACTGGGGACAGAATTATACAATACGAAGGAGTCTTGTGGTTTTAGTTTTACTTTAGAAAAAGTTTGAGTTATAGCATTCTAAGCTTCCAGACCTGGTACCAACCTCTTCCAGAGAGATGTTTCAGTTTCAAAAACTGGTTTGGTTTTCCAGCAAGGATTATGAGTAGGTGGCCTGTAGAAAGTCTATAGCATGTAATATGGGCAGCTTATAGAGAAAAACCCTGCTACTGAAAACAGAAGTATTTGTTGGAATGTATTTTAAATATCATCAAAGAGCTGAAAAAGTAAAGAGGGATAACCAGGCCAAAATCTAAAGAAAAGTAGGACTCTAGTGAAGGAAGCAGAGCAAAGAACCCACTCTTGCCCTGAAATTTTTTGCTGATTGGAAAATATTGAAATTCTATTTTGACGGACTTTTCAGACAAGAAGATAAACAAAATTTTGGGGCCTGCTAAACTTGAGAGTGTGAGGCCTCAGCGTTTAAAGGTGGAACTCCAAGTAACAGCACCATCGGCATAAAGGTAATATGAGGTAATACCACTCTACCTACAGGGGGAAAAAGCAGAGCACAGGGAAATAAAAACACAACTAAGTACCTGTGGAAATGTAGTCACAAGCTGGCCCTCAGGCAAATTTGCATTCCAAATTCACCCCACTTCACTAAATACAAAAATTTCATGTCTTTAATTTTTTTAAAACTGGTCTTAGACTGATAGAGTCCAAAATGTCTGTGAAATGAACCCTTCTAAATGTTTTATCCAGTCTTGTGCAAATGTCTAGTTCACATATAATATATCTGCAAGTTTCTTTAGTAACATTCACCTTAACCAAGTTTCCATAGCTTTTACCTTATTTGACATAAAAATAAAACTTCTCTTTTTATATTTTCGTTTCATCAAGTTATAAATTTTGTATTACATTATGTAATTATAAGGACACATAACCATCAGCAGACTCTTAGTGGACACACACCTGATTGCTAGGCATGAAGCAGCTAGCCACAGGAATGAAGCAGGCTCTACCAGGGGAGGTTTTCTATTTACCCAAGTGCAGGATCTTCTTACATCCTTTGCCAGTGCTGTGAGGTAAACAGGAGAGGCTCACAGTAAAGATTTGCCCAAGGTTTACTAGCAGTTGCTATTTCAAAATCTTTTAAATCCTGTAAAAGAAATTTTTCCTACTGTATTCATTTAACAGACTCCTAGATGATAATGGATAATTCTTGTTATATTTGTAGATAAAGCTCTTATACATTTCCTTGATAATATGCCAAAAATATTCGGTATAAGTTATTTATTTTGTTACTCTCTACACTGAGGTTACCCACTATTTCATAGTAGTTAACAAATGTAGATATAAATTCATGAAATGTTTTCTGCAGATAATGACCTGATGTTAATTTTTTAAGGGATGACAAACTCTATACCACAGTCAAACAAACAGAAAAAAATGAGGGAGAGGGGAATAACAGAGGTGCTTATAAATCAATCTAGTCACAAGCAGGCAAACTAACATGAATTCTCATGGTTGCATTGCTTAAATCTGTGGTTATCAGTAAGATCTATGCTAGTTACAGGGAAAAAAAAAAAGTGGCCAAAGAGGGGGCTGCGTGGGGAACAAGACAGGTTTGAACCTCCACAACTTTGAAAGAAGAGGGCAGTGAAAAGGGCATTCACCTTTTAGTGATGGCCTTGGTGTAACCCTTTCAGGGTGCTTTTGGGGTCTGTTAGGAAGCAGTGATGACTAAAGTCAATAAGTTGAGTGTATATAAAGTCAATGGTCCCTGTAAGGCTTGATGTGTGTCGTTAGGCAACAAATAAACTAAATAAAGTCCAAACAAGGTCACCATGGATGAGCAGGCAAATGCAGAACAACTCTAAGACAAAGTCACTGAGGTATAAAATGTTGGGGTGAAAAGACAACTGGAAAGATTATAGACTATAAACTATCTGTCAGACAGGCAATAATAGAGACCAAGAATAAAGAGGCAACACTAGCTATTATTACAAAGGCCCACACAATTTGAGATCAAAAAACATAACAAGGTGTTCTCTAAGATATTTCTTTTGCTAATTCATCACACTGTTGCTTCAGCTCTGCTATACTCATTCAGATTTAATTTTCTCTGATTTGCCAGCTATATATGTATACATATATATACATGCACTCATACATACATAGATGTGTGTATATACATATGTATGCACTGTGTATGTGTGTACATGTTCACAAAGCAGATCACAAAGCAGAGGATTTCGTTTAACAGAGGACACAGATAATCAAATAGTTAAAAACTTCCCAGGAGAAATATATAAGGCTAGGTGATATAATCGACATAAAATGCACTTGTAGAAAGTCTAGGGCTTAAATTTAAATTCTTTCTGGCCTGAATAAAAACTAACAAAAGCATTTTTCATAGAAATACAGAATTATTTGAAACGATTTCAAATTTAATTTCTTTGGAACTTGAGAAGCATTGCTTTTTTTTTTTTTTAAAGCTAGGAATTAATGTTCTAATACTGATTAGAGAAAATTAAAAGAACTTAGACTTTCCAGAAGCAGATTGTAGATTTATACAATTAATTTTAGTACTGAAGTATGATAGAACCATAAAAGACATTCCACACTGAGAAATAACATGTGTGGCTCAGTGATAGCCTGGAGAGTCCTGGTGATGCCTAATATTCTCAAAGGGTTTATTAGGCACTTTAGCTCCAGTAGTCTGTTATTTTAAACATTGATACAGTATCTTTTTCTATAGCTGAGTTTTACTTTAGGAAGCCTGGGGTAGTGGAAAAGCATGTGTGCTGTTCGAAATGAGACAGATCTGGGTTCAAGGCTCTGCTCTCTATTAACCAGCTGGGGATTCTGGGGCAAGTTACTTGACTAATGTGATCCTCTATTTCCTCATTATAAAGTACTTCTTATTGTAAGGAATACATCTGATACAGTCATAAAAAGTTAGTGTTTCATGAGTATTATTAAATCACATTGATGTTCTTCTTGACAAATGACTCCCATTTTTGTTTAATGCATCCAGGATTGGGAATTCCTCACCTCTTGGAGTAACTACTTTCATCTTTGCACAGCTCCAGTTATGAGAAAGGTTTTTGTAGTGTTCAGCTGTACTCAACTTCTTTCTGGGACCCACCCTTTGACTGCATTCCATGTGACCACCTTTCAGTTCTTCAATCCTCTTCCCACTCCACACTCACCGCAGATTCTTGTGCTAGCTAAATATACCCAGTTTCTTTAGTCATTTTCTATATGACAGGTTCTCCATCCCCTTACCATAATTGTTGTTTTCTTCTGGACATACTTTAGTCTGTCAATATCCCCTCCATAGGGTCACTTCCAGAGCAAACATCAGAGCAGTATCATTGCGTCCCTTCTTCTGGAAGCTTCTTTAACACAACGTGCCATCACAGTAGCATTTTTGGCAGCTATATCCCACTATTAAGTTGTATTGAGTCGTTAAATTTAAACAACGCTTAAATCCTTTCCATTTGCACAAACCACATTTTTCTCTATCCTGTTCTTTTGTAGTTATGGGTAGAATTTGGGGTGTTTGGATTTTTCCATGTTTTCCATTGAGGTGAGGGGTGGATGCCTAAACAAAAGTGTTTATGGTTTTCCTGTTGAATTTCTTCTTAAACCAGGTCCATAGTTACTACCTATCAAGATCTTTTTGGTAAAAATCCTACTGTTCAACATAATGATGAGCCCTCTCAGCTTTGTGCTGCCTGCAGCCTGCAACAGCAGGCCATCAAAATCCTATTCCAAGTCCTTAATTAACATTTTGGGTAGTACAGTGCCAAGCACAGAGGCCTGTGGTGGGCTCTAAAGATAGCCTTGCCTTTTGGTTGGCATAAATCCATTCATCAGAAACAACTCTTTGCTTACTATATACCAGCTCATATTCAGAGTAATGTGATCAGAGATTGATACAGTCATATAGGAATTCAAGCTAACCACTTCATCTTCGCTAACTTATGCTGACTTCTTTGCTGGGGGCTTGCAAATCATGTCTTTAGTGATTTGTTTTAGAACATTTCCCAGATATTAAGCCCATCTCCTAGAGTTTACAGGATTTACCTTTGTTTTAAGAATAAGACATTTGTTCATTACAGTCTTCCCTAATTCTTAAGATTCCTCAAAATTTATTGACAGGAGTTCCTTTATTTTACCTTAAAATTCTTTCAGTGTTCAAGAAATGTACCTCATCTAGGTCATGAGACTTATGTGCATTTTGAACAGCCAATGCTTTCTTACAGGTTCCTCACCTACCCTATTTTTAAATACCAGTGTTAGTGCTGCCCTTCCCTTTCACAATCTTTCAGCTGGAAAACAACATAGGAATTAAAGCAGTTAAGTGGTTCTACTTTCCTCCTCTTCTCTGTTAACATTGTATCAGGCTCCTTAAACTTAAGGCACATTTCTGCCTGACCTGTGAAAATGTACCTTGCATGACTTTCCACATCAATCCCAAACCACTTAACATTTGTATTGTTCATAACTTCAGTCCTGAATGCTTGCACTCCATGGTCTGATCTGTTTTAGTCTGACACTATGACTTATTTTTAGCTTTCATTTCAACTTCCCTCCTTAGACCTGATACTTCTCATACTTTGACTTTTCTCTTCGCTCCTAAGCCTTGGCTATACTACTTTGGTCACCCAATGATAAATGTCTCACCTCAGCTAATGGGTTCTTTCTTTTGGGTGATACTCTTAGGCCTAACATTCTCACTAGATGTTGCAGTTACCCATTGCAGTACATCAAACCAGGTGGCTGCTGCATCACCTTTAAGTCACACAGCATCACTTCTGCTATACTCTATTGGTCAACTGATCACTAAGGTCAGCCTAAATTCAAGGAGAGGAGGCATTAACTACACCTCTAATGAGATAGTGTCAGAAGATTTGCAACCAAGTTGTTTAAACACCACCTGGTTAGTGGAGCCCAGTGAAGAGAGCCCAGGCACAAGGCAGCAAAGGCATTTGTTCCTTGTGCTTTTTTCTCCATGTAAGTGTACAAGTCCTTTTTGATGACTTAGCACTTTTCATATACCTCCCTTCATTCTGGACATTAGCAGCTAACATTCTTGTAGGTTTATATTGTTGTTTTATCTTTGAACATGATTGTTTGTCTGTTTTCTGTTTGAATTCATCAGAGAGAACCTCTTGAACCCATATCAGTTTATTAGTTCTTTCATTGCTTCTACCCCATTGTATTCCCAAAAATTAAACTGAAAATATTTCATTCCTTTTCTTAGCTTCCCTATCAGGAGAATGCTACCAATTATTTTCTTCTGTCTGCGTAACCCACTTTAACATATACACATATACACACTAAATATTTACTTATTGTTAATACTTGTCATCTCTTTAATTAGCGTGGGGAAGGTGTAATGGCATGGTTAAGAGTCAGACAGACCTGGGTTTTAATTCCCATGCTCCCCTACTAGCTCTCTGTATAATCTGGAGAACATCGTTTTACTCCTTTAAAACTTAGCAAATTT